AAATAATAAGTTATAAATAACTTTACTTTAACTCTTAAGAATTAGTACTATTATTTCTATACTTTACTAGTAAATTATAGCCCTTAGTTAAATATAATTATTTATAAAAGCCTATAAAGCTTTTATATATTTCTGTATAATATTTTAGCTGTCTCTTCTAAAGTTGTGCTCTTCTTTGTAATTATATAAGGGATATAGTAGCATTTCTTACTTAGCTAATTAATAATTATTAAAATAACATTATAGTCTTTTAATATTAGTAATCTTATAACAAAATCTATTAAGATATCTTATTAAGGGCGCTTAGGAATCAGAAGAGATTATAATAGGCTTATAAGGAGCTAATATACAGGTTTAGTCCTTTTATAGACATGATAATTCTATAAGAATCTTTTAACTAATGTATATTTATTTAAGATATAGTACCTACTATTTATAATAGCTTTTTTTGTCTTTATATAGCCTAAGTATTTAGTCTCTTTGCTCTTATAGATTTTTTAAATTACGTCTATTATTATTATTACTAGTACTATTAGTTTTTCTTTATACTATAGCACTCCTTCCTTATCTTTATAATTTTAAATATTATACCTAAATATTTTCTTCTTTAGGTTTTTTACTTATTTTTTTATCCGGATTATATTAAATGTTTTATTAATATAATTCTTCTTCTTTACCCTCTCCTAAAGCGGCAAATCTTCTTTCTTCTTTAGATAATATATCTAATTACAAAAGGGTCTAATATAGATTAGGATCCTCCTTTGCTCTTAAGATCTTTAACTATATATATATAGCTAAATTTATTACATAGCTTCTTTATTAGTTCTTCTTTTACTATCTGCTAAAATATAAGTTGCTCTTTACAATTATAATCCTTTATAAACTTTATTAATAAATCCCTAAGATCTAAAATATAGCTATATAATCTTATTTATTTCTTCCCTAAGATTATAAGGTACGTAGCCTTTGTTATATAAAAGATCTATAATCCCTATTAGTATTTACTAATATATATAAATAAATAAAGAGCCTAAGAGATAGATTAATAAATCTTATTAATAAAATTAGAAATAGGAATAGATTTAGCTAGGTCTATTATATTAATTTATAATCTTTTATAAAGTTGTTTTACTAATTAATAATTTATAATTATGCTTACTTAATATCCTATATCTAATAATGCTAATACTGTTAATCTTTCTTTTCTTTTTCTAATACTAATATTAATTAGAAATAAAGCCTTAAAATCATCTTCTGCTACTGTAACAGGGATCCTTATAGCTTCTTTATTAATTACGCTACTAGGCCTGCTTATAACGTCTTAGTAGTAGGTAGCCCTTTTCCTAATTGCTCTTATGTCTGAGGGTAATCCTTTATGTAATGTCCTATTTTCTTATAATAGTAGCACCTTACTATAAATATATTTTATAGAAGTCGTAGCTTAAGTACTAGCTTCTCCTTCTTTATTATTAGTTTGCTAACAGATTATTAGGTGTTAGGAACTAAAGACTTTACTAATATACTAGCGTTAGCTACTAGTTTATTTAAAGTAATATATTAACTATTTATATTAGTATATATTAGGTCTATAATTATCTCCTGAATTAATATATATTTATAGAGAATAATTACTTACTTTAGATTATCTTGAACCTTGTCTTAAAGGTCTATAATCTGATTCTCTTCTTAGACCTCTGCTTTATAAGAAAGCCGTTAGAAATCCCTTAAGAATATAGTAAGGTCCTGCTGCTTTTGCTATAAGTAGTAATACTCCCTACAAGTAATCTTCTGTCAAAATAAAGAATCGAATTAAGTTAAAAGGTCTATAAATATATCTGAAATCTAAGCCCTCTTAAAGTCCTTAAAATATAACTTAAGTAATTCTTAAGCGTCGCTATCTATGCGTGATTATATATAGGCGACCTTAGATAGCTCTATTAGAAAGAGCACTATATTAACTATAAACTTTATCTTTATAACTAATAATTAAGAGCGAAACTTCTAAGGAGGTCTATCCTTAAAAATCTCCGGGTAAGGCAGCTTCTTTGTCTTTGTACTAAGTATTATCAAGGGGCTTAGAGTCGCTTCTAACAAGGCCTGCCTTTAAGGCAGCGACTCTCGTTCTATTAGAGTCCCTAATAGAGATTTCACTCAAATTTACAGCTTTAGAGTTGCTGTAATCTTGTTGTAGAGATTCTAGATAATCTTCTTTTTGTTACAGAGTTGATCCTTTAGAGCCTTAAGCTCTATGCTAGTGCCTTTATTAAGGTCTTAGTATCTTTCTTCCTAAGTTTGGGGGGGTGGGAGGGGGGGGGCGGGGGGGGGGTTCTGCACTAGACAAAGGGCTTTCTCTTCCTTATAGGTAGCTACTAATGTTAGTACAAACGCCGCTATATATGTTTGATTCTTGTTAACTAGTGCTATAAAGGCTAGAAGAGTTAATGGGTTATCTGTCACTCTTTCTATGTGCTTAATTAATATGTGCAAGGCGTCTTGATCTATAGGCAGGGCTTCGTCTAGGCTCCGCCTCTGGTTGCTTAAGGAAGAATAGCGAACTTCGCCACTCTCTCTTCTCTCTGTTTGATCACGAATCATCTTGACTTGATAGTTCTTAAACCTTTGTACGATACAAGGTGTTTATATCAAATGGGCCTTGCGTTACTCCTAGAGCAACGACTTTCTCACACAGTAAAATAACCCTAGATAGGTTCTCTAATAGCTATGCTATAGATAAGAGAGTTTTGTATCGTCTCTCAAGATAGCAAGTAAGTGTTGAGCTTTCATTTACTGTAATAGCTCAAAACTAGAACAAGTTAATAGTCTATAAATTGCTAAAACAAAAGCTAGAAAATCTATCTATAATGTAGCCATACACAGATTCATATACTCTAACGCTAGCAGGTGAGGCCTGTGTGTGCATGGGCTATGCTATAGGCTATAGAGCATTCATAGTTCCTAATCCGGCCTCCTGCTGTATAGTAAAGTTTAGGCTTCCCTAATTAGGTAAGGCGAACCTCTCTATTCGTAATCCGTCCGGATAGCTCACACGCTTTAATAAGCGCTTTACAGTAAGAGTTTGCTTGCTGCTGCAAGTTAGTTATAGGCGTTGCCTCTTGAGTATATAACTAGCACATGTATTTCTTATGCTATAGCAGAGGAAATATATTATCTATTATAATAATTATATAGTTTTTTTTTTATTTAATTAAATTATATAGATTCTTTAGAATAAATATACTTCTATTAGTTTTTTAATATTTTATAAGAATTTTATTAGTCTTAAAAAGAGTAATTTAAGGCATATTTTACATTTTTATAATATTTTAAATTAATATTTCTTGACTTATATAAATAACTTTAACCTTAGAAAGAACTCTATTATATTAGGATTAAAGTTTGTTATATTATTATATTTTAATTTTAGCTAATAATTAAAAGATCATTATTCTTAAAAAAAGTAGGCAGATTACTTATACAGGCGAGTCGCTTATAAACCACGTTATATTTAATATATATCTAATATATATCTATATATATTTTTTGTATATATATTTTTATATATTTTATATAGGTGATTATATAATTAGATAATTTAGAGACTTTAACTTATATAATAAGTTTAATCTACTTTATTAAGTTTATTAAGATGCGACCTTAGCCTAGTACTAAGGGAGACCCTTCGTACGGATCAGACCCAATCTGGTAACTCCTGATCCTAGTAACTTCCGATCTTGGCAACTACAGATCGGAGTCCGAGAGAGTCTCTCGGCTCGTAGATAAGCTGGCTTTTGAGAAAGCTCAGAGGGCTAGCGTTCTATCTCGTGTTGAACGGAAGGCTGCCACTGCACATTTGCTGACACCGCTCTTAGCATGCGATACGCATGCGAACTCTATGCTTAGTTATTCTAATTAGAATCTACTCATCTTGTCGAAGTCTCTCTACTGCCCGCCTGTCCCTGGGTAGCCCTCTGACAAAGTCCTTCTAACAAGTTCCTTTAGACCTGGTACTTCAATCAATCAGCCAACTCAACTCCACTCAACTCAACTGAAATCGACGCTCTCACCCTTCCCAATTTCTCTACAGACATCCCGTAATCCGGACGTCATGTCAAACCTCCAATCCTACGCGTACCCAGGATGGGGTGAATGGGCGCAGAAGAATATGTCTTTTACCCAGGCTATCCGAGTAGGCGACCGTATAGTGTGTTCCGGTCAAGGTATATAACGTTGTCGCCCCTCCAACCCCCATGATCCCCCGTCCTACGAAAATCTTACAGCTAACTCATCCCACTCTTCAGGCGGCTGGGATGCCAGGCAAAAGAACGTCAACTTTCAAACCCTCATCAAGAAAGACATGCTGGAAGAGATCGACCAGGCCTTCGAGAATGTCGACTACAACCTCAAGCACGCCGGCGGCAAAGGTTGGTCACAGGTCTACCGTGTTGTCACCTATAGCATCGATATCGCGCCCCAGCACGACCGCATAGTTGAGAACTTTCGGAAGTGGATGCCCGACCATTGTCCGGTATGGACCGAATTGGGTGTCAAGCAGCTGGGTTCGGATTTGATGAATATCGAGATCGATGTCGAGGCGTATGATGAGGAGGGCGCGGCCGAGACACGGAAAGCGAAGCCTACCGCCGCCGCCTAGAAGTTGAGACGGAACAGCTAGAGCAATTTACGGCAGGTAATTTGCGGATAGGTGTGTGCCACAGTTGCGCAAAACTTCACCCCATTTGTGCCTTGGGCCTCGGCAGAGACGAGTACGCTGTTGCTGTTTGTTGGTTTTGGCAACGACTCATGCCCGCTTTGCCGCCTCTCTTTATCCCCTCCGTACCTGGACAGGGGTATAGAATGCCGCTATTAGCGTTGTCGATCTTTACTATTTAAGGATGCTACAACTCCTGTTCAAGCAGCTCGTTCGAATACAGTTTTGTAGGGAAAATTCTCTGAAATCAGAGCTTTACAGCCTAACAGAATTGTCTATTTCTTCTTTATTAGTATTGAATGCTGGTTGAATAAACTTCTGTCGACAACCTTATTTGAGCTTAAAATCTGTTAAAGACGCTAATAGCGGCAGCAGGTACGGAGGGGATAGAGTTGTCTAACTAAAACATATACTGGCCCTCACGTTTTCTCAGAGACTATGAACTTGTCGAGGTTGACACATGCCTCTAGAATTAGCATCTAAGGTTGAGCGCTTCGTTGTGGATTACCCTTAGCTAGGCCGGTAATGCTTTTTAGCGTTCGGAAACAGCGCAACTGTATCTAATGTTCCCTTGGCTTAGTATTACGTGATATAATAGGCGCATTTGACGCCTGTATTTAGTACAACATTTATAGACTAGTGCTAGTGTCAGTTCGCGCTAAATATTTTATGCTAATACAGACGCAAGTCAGAGCACGTTTAAGACTAAGCCATAAATTATTACTAGATGGCTATATCTCCTAATGAAAATGACCTGTCCTAGACATTATTAAATACGCTAAAGGAAATCCGCACAAAATCTAATACTATAGGTGATCTAAACAAGCTTTTCTGCTGCATACTAAAGATATTCTTTAATTACATTCTGCTAATATTAACTTTTATTATTTATTAATAAGTTAAATAGACTTTTATTTATAAAGAGGATATAGTTAAAAGTCTTTGTTAACTAGTGCTATAAAGGCTAGAAGAGTTAATGGGTTATCTGTCACTCTTTCTATGTGCTTAATTAATATGTGCAAGGCGTCTTGATCTATAGGCAGGGCTTCGTCTAGGCTCCGCCTCTGGTTGCTTAAGGAAGAATAGCTAAAAAGCCTTTTATAAAAAGTAAAAGAAATAATAAGTTCTTAATATATATATAAATTAAGATTTATAGAAGTTAAAAAAAGATTTTTAAATAAATTATATATTAAAAAAGAGATTTTGAGCCTCAAGAAAATAGCTAAAATATTATTATTAAAGTAAGATGTCTATTAATATATGTTATAATATAAAGCTTATAAAGTAAATATTAGCTTACTACTATATAGTTTGACTTATACTTTACTCAAAGAATAAACTTATATTAATATAATAAGACTTAACTGCTATTATCCCTTGTGACCCTGATTAATCCCTATTGTGGGTATCCTTCCTTATAGAGTTTAGCGTTAAGAGATACCCGCGTTTAGCGGTAAGGTTATTTCTGCAGCCTTGGCATTATAAACATTAAAACACGTTAAGATCTGGCTACAGCCTTGGTGTTAAGAACACTAAAAGTTAATTATAAAAGTAAAACTTATATTAGCTGCATTAGGCTAATAATTAGGGCTAGAGATCTATAAATGATATTATTTAATAGCTTTTAAAAGGCTCTATCTAAATATATAGTTTTCAGATTAATAGAGCTTTTATTAATAAAGTAAATTTAAAAAAAGGTAAGAAAGTTCTAGTTCTAAAAAATAACTTTAAGATTAACTTTATTATTAAAGAAGATATAAATCTATAAATATTATATTATACAAAAAACTATTAAACTCTTAGAAAAAGCTTATTAGACATTTATAACTTAAGCAATTCATAATTTATAAGAGATTAAATTATATAAAACTAATATCTGTTTATTATTTTCTCTACTATTAGTTAAATACTATTATAATAAAAATTTAAATAATCTATTAAAATAAGGAATTTTAAGAGTTATTAAATAATACTATTTATAAATTTCTAATTTTTACTTTAGTATTTTTGATGTTCTTAATGCTAAGACTGCAGTATAACTTTAACTATTTTAATGTTTCTAATGCTAAGGCTGCAGAAATAAATCTTACTGCTAAACACGGGTACCTCTTAACACTAAACTCTATAAGAAAGAATATCTATAATAAGGATTAATCAGGGTCACAAGAGATAGAATCTTATATCAAAGAGATTATAGATATCTAAGTCTTATTAATTAATTTTAATAATATTAAATTAATTTACTTGACTCTTTTATATAATAAAGAAATCTTTAAAAGTAACTAGTTCTAAACTTGCTTTTAGACAAAGATGTTACAGTATATAAATGCACTAGGCACTAACAGGCCTTAGAGGCTGCACAGACCCTGTGTAAGAAGACCTTAGAATTAACTAAGCCTAAGAGGCTTAGCAAAAGGACACGCTTATATAAAGACAACCTTAAGCAGGGTATTCATAAGGGGAGATTAATTAGTAACGCTTACAAGCGCTTATAAATAAGCGGCTATAAGCACAAATCTCTTAGCCTATATAAGTACGCTTATTTCCTAGATAGTTTTATAGTCTTTAAATTAACTTATGTTATTAGCTTATACCTAAGTTAAAGACATCTTAGTATTATTTATTGTACTTCCTATTCTACCTAACTAACTTACCTGTATTCTACCTAATTAATTTACTTAGACCTAGTTAATAATTAAGAACTTGTCTTAATTAATTAAGCTTTAATACTTTAACTATTACTCTTTAAAATACTAAGTATAATTAAATAGATATTATATATATTACTTAAAGCATATATTATATTAGTTGCCTCAGGACTTATTACTACTATTAAGAGCTAAGGAAGGAATATATAATTTAAAGTTTTATTATTAGATCTCTTTTATAAAGATAAAAAAAAACTTTAAGAGTTCTTAAACTAATTAAGAATTAATTTCTTATTTTATATATAAGCAATAAATATAAATGAAAAAAAAGTATTATATATAGCTACCTTTCTTTAAGGAGCTATATATAATTAGTTTAAAGACATATATTATATTAGTTGCCTTAGGATCTATTATTACTATTAAGGGCTAAGAAAAGAATATATGGTTCAAAGTTATACTACTAGATCTCTTCTATAAAGATTAAAAGAGACTTTAAGAGTTCTTAAACTAATTAAGAATTAATTTCTTATTTTATATATAAGCAATAAATATAAATGAAAAAAAAGTATTATATATAGCTACCTTTCTTTAAGGAGCTATATATAATTAGTTTAGACCTTATTTTAAGAATAAACTTAAAGAAGTATTAGAAGATTAAGAATTAAATATGTAATAAATCTTTTATAGTTTTGCTAACTTTATAATTAAGATTAAGCAAATATATAAGGACGTGAATATAATTAAGGAAGCCAAATAAGATCTATTACGTATAAGGCAGAAGAGATCTACTGTAAACTATACTTCTAAGTTCTACTAGATTGCCTTATAAATTAACTAGAAGAATGCTATATTAGCAGCCTCTTTTTATAAAGGACTAAAGGACTTAGTAAAAGATAATCTATCTAAGATTAATTAACTAAGTAAATTATTATCTTTAATTAAGATAATAATCAAAATAAATAACTAGAATTATAAAAGACAACTTAAAAAAAGAAAAAATAACTATATTATATTTCTAATATATTATTAAGTAAACACACAGAAACCTAAGCAGAGGACCTAAGAATACTATCTAGCAAGAGGAAGTAGACTTATAGATCTAGACGTTACCTAATAAAAAGCTAGATAAGAAAACCTAAAAAGGGATAACTAAAGTAATAAGAAGATCTCTAAAAAAGAAAAAGAGAAAAGATTTAAAAAGAATTTATGTTTATACTATAGAAAATTAAGATACAGAAGTAAGGAATAC